TTTGCTGCACATTCTGCACTGTATTTGCTCACCCTTTAACTTTCTTTTCAACCTTTAAATTGTATGTTCTGACATGTTGATTATAATGTTCTTGCTATCCTTGCTGTTATGGAAATTTTATATTTCATTAGTTTAGGCCCTGTCCACACGTAGCCGGGAATCTGCCAAAACGTAGATATTTTCTACGTTTTGGCCTGTCATCCACACGAAAACGGATCTTTTTAAAAACGCCGGCCAAAGTGAAGATCTGCGTTTTCTCCGTTTTGGGTGTCTGCATGTGGACAGACAAAACCGGAGTTTTAAGGTTCGCAACGTCACTTTCCGCGACAAAAAATGCTGACATCACGTGTGCGACCTGTGTTTACACTAGCCGACAGCATGGATGCCCTCAGAGCTGCGCTCGCTTTATCAATTGTCCAAGCACTTTTTGCTTGTTTGTTTTTGCAAGCGGAATTACTGCTCCTTGTGGAAGACCACAGACGAAGGACGAAGTTAAGAACGGGGGAAGTACTGCCTCCTACAGGTCTGGCATGTCCTTAACAACGTATTTATCCGGGTACGTGTGGACAGTTTTTTTTAAACGAGGTGGTGTGGATGCAAATTTTTGGAGGGGCGGGTATTCGTTTTTAAAAACCCCGGCTACGTGTGGACTAGGCCTTAGTTCTATTAACAGATCTATTAACTGAATGTCCTGAAAGCACACACACACACACACACTCTCTCTCTCTCTCTCTCTCACTCACTCACTCACTCACTCACTCACTCACACACACACACACACACACACACACGATCCACTTCCATTCCTTTCTTATCTCTTTGTATAAATAGACTCTGTGACCAGATGTTTGGGGTATTTTGCCCTGCGCTCTTGCCACAAATCATGATTTGGTTGTATGTCTGCCTTATTGTTTCTTGCCCCTCTCTCTAGCTGCAGGAAATGGGTTTATTGATAAACATATTGATAAAATCCCTAACACTTGCTAATAGAAAGCACATTGAATTGCCTCAGTGTATGAAATGTGTTATATAAATAAAGCTGTGTTGCCTATTAGGAGAAGGCCTCACTGCCACCTAGGACTGATTCAAGAGTGTTTGTTGTTAGCCTCAAGGGCAACCTGCTGGCTTCATTATCACCTGTAAGTTGCTTTGGACAAAAGTGTCTGCTAAATACACAAACATAAACGTAAAGAGGCTAAATATATTCTATTAAAATGACTAAAAAGAACAAAGTGTAGTAACAGCTTTCAGACACTGGGGGACAGCATCTACCCACCTTGCCATCTTTTCTAAAGGCTGTTGGACAGGTTTTAAATTAGTGTTAACAGTCTAGATAATCTAAATAATGGCTAAGCCAGAACATCTTCACTTATAACCCTTTGATCAGCTGTAAAACAATCTGTTTCAGTTCAAGTGTTTTCAATAAATGTCTGCTTGTTTTTTTTTTTTGTCTCACTCCCATTTCTTCTTGTTGCACATTGAAGCTCTACTTGGAACATTGTTAAGATCCATCGATGCAACATATAATTTTTGGCTTTTTTTCAAGAATTTTGGTTGGGACTGTATTTCTGTGGTCAGACAATAAAATGTGTCAAATCACTTTTTTGACAATTACATAAAGTATATGTAAAGTTAATATTTGCAATCAAAATCATTTTAAGACCTTTTTTACAATCTGTCAACCAACATCAATTAAGCCTGACTGATGAAGGTCCAGCCTTACAAAATCAACGTCTGCCATAATTCTTGTTTGTTATTATTTATCAACCTGCTTCTTAAGGTTTAACTGTGTAGATTTACAGT